CTTAAAAATACTGTATTGGGGAGGGGGTGGGTAAGGAGAAAAGTGCAACAGTTAATGGAATGGAAACCCTAAGTCTCTGTAAACTTTCATTAAAATTAATTTAAAAACAAAAAGTATTGATATCTTAGAGATAGATCATGGTTGGTCAGTAAGGTTTTTGTTCGATATGCAGCTTTGTGTGGAGAGGTTGAAACAAGGGAGAAATTGTAGTTCATCATGATTTCTCCCTAGTTAGTAAAGATCATGTTCTGAGTTTATAAAAGATGATGGCAACGCCTGTACATGAAGGATGAGAGCCATTTGATGTTTTTAGATAATGTGAAGCCAAGAATTGAAGACATTTTGGGGAAAGATCACTTATTAGTTTTCTAAGCCGAATTTAATTGACACCCCCCCCCCCAGTGTCTGCATTGCTTGGGGAGGAAGATGAAGAGGCACTGCATTATTTGACCAGAGTTGAAGTGACGGAATTTGAAGATATTAAATCAGGTTACAGAATAGATTTTGTAAGTATCAGTAATGCAGCATGCTTGCCAACTATGAAAGTTTAATTTGGATATAAGAACTGAATTGATTTTTTACCTTTATCATTACAGTATTTTGATGAAAATCCTTACTTCGAAAATAAAATTCTCTCCAAAGAGTTTCATTTGAATGAGAGTGGTGATCCATCCTCAAAATCAACTGAAATTAAATGGAAATCTGGAAAGGTAAGTTTTGAGAACTAATTGGAGGAAAATAATATTTTTCATGTATTAGTGTAATCAGATGAAGTTTTTTATTTGATAATATGTTAGATAGATTAAGAACTTACATATAATTAGCACTACCATTGTGATAAAGGATAGAGCTAAAATATGGTTATAGATCTTGTAGTAATTATGTAAGCTAGTGTAGGATCAAACTAAATTGATACTATATATGGTCATAGTTGTTTTTAAAATGGATTTAAAAATTAAAAGGCAAATGTAGTTGTTACTTCAGGAGGTTTTGTTTAATTCTAAAATGTCACAAATGAGTTTAGAGTTTTAGAGGCTTTTTACCCACTGTACATTTTTACAACAGTAGTGGTGTTGACAGTGTATTATTTTGTGTTTTGAGGAGAAAATTTTACTTAGATTATAGGACATTTTAAATGTAATAAACAGCCTGCATGAAACTTCTTTATCTCCATATAGGACTTGACGAAACGTTCAAGTCAAACGCAGAATAAAGCCAGCAGGAAGAGACAGCATGAAGAACCAGAGAGCTTCTTTACTTGGTTCACTGATCATTCTGATGCTGGTGCAGATGAATTAGGAGAGGTCATAAAAGATGATATTTGGCCAAATCCATTACAGTACTATTTGGTGAGTTTTTACACACACATTGTGTGTGTAAAAATGAAAAAAAGAATGTTTCTGTCTTTAAGTAGAGATTGTAGCCTCATTTGATAGAAAGTGAATTCTTAATATATTCATCATATTCTTGGGTTTTTCCCTCCAAGGTTCCAGATATGGATGATGAAGAAGGAGAAGGAGAAGAAGATGATGACGACGATGAAGAAGAAGAAGGTTTGGAAGATATTGATGAAGAAGGGGATGAAGATGAAGGGGAAGAAGATGAAGATGATGATGAGGGAGAAGAAGGAGAGGTAAGAGAAAAACCAGATTAAGAAAAATGAGAAGCTTGATAAACTATTAACTATTGAACCAATTTAACTATTTTCTTGTTTGCATGTATTACATAATGGATCTAGAGCTGATGGTTTGATGTATTGAGTTGTTACTTATGCTAAGCTTGTATTTTTGTAATCAGTATTTAGTGATCAGTTAGTGTGGACAGTGTAGCTAGCTGGTCAAATGCTGGAAAATGTCACAAATACAAAAATACCTAGCAAGTCTTAAATAATCCAATATATTTATATTTCAGCTTGAGTTGTTTAGTTTTAAATAATACCTAATGGTTTGCTCAGTGCTGAAATTACTAATTTTATCTAAATAATAACACTAGGTTTTCAAACTATATATTCCATTCAAATTGATCAGAAAATTGAGTTACAGTGTGTTATCTTTATGTTAAGGAGTTACAGTGTGTTATCCTTATGTTTAAGATTTATGGAGGGTATGAGTTAGCAAGAGGCCTTAGAAATTAAACCTGAAGTTCAACTATATCCACTTTTTTGTCTTGCAGGAAGACGAAGGAGAAGATGACTAAGAACACTGATGGATTCCAACCTTTTTTAATTTTCTTCAGTCCCTGGGAGCAAGTTGCAGTCTTTTGTTGTTTTGTTTATTTTTTCCTCCCCTCTCTTCTTGTGCTCAGTCACCCCGTTCTTGAGGTCTCTTTTCTCTCCTTTACACCATGGTTCTCAACTTTAATTTT